CTAACCATATCGAAGATCTATTTTGTATAAATTGTAAATATTTACTAAATTGTAATTGTATTCATTACTAATTATTTTTTTCTCAAATGTAAATAGTCGTAATCCTTAATACTTTTTATGCCTGTAAATATCAAAATAGTGTGAGGGCCATATGTTAGATAACTTTTACGGTTAATACGTTTTCCCTCGTGAAATAAAGTTTCTATTCTATTCTATACTTACTTTGAGCTAAATGAAGGAATTTAATAATATATGATTGTTTTGTGCTAGAAATACAAATGGCAAAGGTCCTGAAAGACAAACTCAGGAGCAAAGTTATAAAATAAATTTAAAAGTAGTGTTTCCATTATGAAAACTGTGTTGTTCCATTTTTCATTCATATTTATTGGAAATGAATTAGAAATGTAATTGCTTGTTGCAGAATGTGGAAACATCAAAACAATTTTTAGTGATGGGCGATACCAAGAATATCGATTCGATTATGATTACGACCACTTTTCGGACCAAGTATCGAAGTATCAATTACTCAAACGATTACTTATTGTGTAATTCTTCTAATATGTTGATAATTACCTACAAACGCTTTTATACGATTAAGAACAATTCAATCACTTTGCTTTGTTTACAGAAGCTGTCTTCTCGAAATAATTCCACACCACACTTTGTAAAAAAGGCTGCAGATCTGCTGTAGCTGCGTTTTCAGCCATATTGTTTCATGTTTTTTTCTTCTATTTTCCCACCTTTTTCGTCTTATACCTAGCGAATACAAAAAAAAATCTGGGACCATTGGAGTCTTAATTCTGACGAAATGGAGAAAACAGACAAATAAGCAGCTAAAACACTTGCAAAATGTGCAGATTTTCGTTTTAAATATTGCTGAAAAGTAACCCTTATAGTACATTCAGCGAGTAATCGAAAATATTTCGATACCACTCTGGTATCGATTACTCCCGGTAGTAGCCTGGTATCGAGCGGTATCGATTACTCGGTAGTCGCCCATCACTAACAATTTTGTTGTTTTTTATCCAAACATTAAATATCTTCAACATTTCTACAAATTGAGTTTTTCTTTTATCTTTCAGGCAGTAATAAAGCCATGCCCCAAGAAAATTTCATGGGAGCGGTTAATCACACACACAGAATATATTGTGCGTGCTACAGTGAAAATTTTTTGTGAGGCCCCACATATCTAGAAATGACACAATTTGCAAATTAATCTTGTTGGTTTACAAATAAAAACATTAACTGCCTTCAAAATATAGGCACTTGAGGAGTGCATAAGGATTTGCAATTGTGTTGTCAATTCTATAATGCAAGAAAGATCGAAAAATATCGCCCAAAATGTAATATATCAAATCACAACATCATGACAAATCTTTTCGGGGGTTGACAAAACGTGGACCCCCCCTTTCTGGACCCCTAATCTGGATCCCAATCTGGACCCCATTCTGGACCCCAATCTGGACCAGAATCTGGACCCCATTCTTGACCTTTTAAAAACCAACAGACCAGATTGTAGGATACAACTATTTGGATTTCAATATCACGATGATCGATTAAATTCATTTAGCTTTTTTCGACTTTCTGAATCCTCAATCCTGTTCAATGTCCTGATCATTTCAGTCCGCGGCAATCGTATCATCATAGGAAGGCATTTCATCTTGCTTCAAAATGTCCAATTCCCTACTCCCAGGAGACATCTTGAAGTCAAATGCCCGAGGGGATGGTGATGTTTCGAATTGATCGATACATTATATAATCTTGTACATTAATGCTAGGGCATTGCTGGGCAACATAGTTATTCCAATTAGAAATTTCTTACTGCACTGGTTTTCTTGTTTCATGTTCTTTTGAATAGGGACAAGTACATTCAGTAAAGTGCATGTTGTTTTTGTGACCTTGTAAAATACTGTGTAATGACATTGTCATTAATGTAGTGTTGGGTTGCTATAAATCGGCAATTTACTCCGCTGCATTTATAGCAAAAAATGTCAACAAATATTGGCTTCCAATTTATTGTGAATAAGCCATGTCTTGTGCCCGGTCAGTGCTGAAGCCATCTCAACAAATGCGGGTTGGGGATGGACTGCTTACAGCTGCATATGTAATGTTTTCTTAATTTGCATGTACCTTTTACCTTAATTTACATGGACTTTTTACAAGGTCCAGAAAGGGGTCCAGAAAGGGGGTCCACGTTTTGTCAACCCCCAATCTTTTCTTTGAATTTCAACTTTTGTTTAATAACTATTATATTTAAAATTAATCTACTACAACTTTGAAAAGGCCTAAATTGCATCTGCACAAACGCACAAATTTTGTGCAACCAACACCATTTTTGGGCCGTGCGGATATTCCCAATATAATATGATAATTGTTGCACCCATACCATTCCCATAGTTTATACATCGAGAACCATATGAATTCCATGTCATGTTCCCAGATCATTCCCATATAAAATCTTATCTTACCCATAGCAAAGTTGTTATGAAATGATATAAGGAACCCATGTATTTCCCATAGTAAGTCATATGGGATATGTATGGATTTGTACCAAATACGTATCAAACCCATATCAAAAACATGATATGCTATGAAGGCAACCAGGCCATACCAAAGCCATATACCTCCCATATATGGCCCATAGGTTGAACCATATCAATCCCATAGTTGGTCCATATATGTCCCATATAATTTGGTTTTGTAAGGGCTGTTTTATAAAACTAATAATGGCTTTTCAACTATCAATAATTATTATGTATTATATTAACCCCTTTAAGTGGCACTGTGTCCTACTTTATTATTTTACTCTGTCTAATGCCAGATGATTTTACTTGTCAGGGAGAAAGTGCTGCTATTCAATGGGTTAAGTCCCAACCACAAGAGAAACCTCCCTATGCGATGTTATGGTAACTTTTATTTGAACTTATTTTTCAATGTGCATAATATAGATAGAAAAAGAAGAAATTATGTAACAGAAATTATGTAATTATTAGTAACATACCAGTGTTGCAACGCTAGCAGTTACAAATCAGGGGCAGATATATAGGTTGATCTAAGACTATCTTAGCAGCTTTATTATGTAGAATTTGTAAGTCATTCATCAATGTTTCATTTCCCCTGTCCCCCCAGCAAATGTCCCCATAGTCTATAAGTGGCAATATAAAACTTTTAACAAACGTTATTCTAGCATCTAATGGTAAACAAGACTTGATACGTTTTAATAAACCAAATTTCTTGTTTATCTTGGAACTAATATAGTCCACATGATCTCCCCATGTACAATACCGGTTTACAAGAATGCCAAGGTATAGAAAAGATTGAACATTAGCAAGTGTCGAGTCATTGATTGATATGGTAATTGAATCAATTTTAGAAAGTCGTCGACTGCTCCCACCAGATCAATTGTAGTTGAGGTATGTTCAGTGATGCGTGTTGGGGTACTAATGACTTGTTTCAATTCATGATTGTTTACTAGCCGGGCTAGTTTACGCTTCATGCCAATATTAGCATTTGTTCTGCCCAGTGTAAAGTCAATGTTGAAGTCACCAAGAATAACTTTATCAAACGAAGAATCAAATTCTGATAAAGAGTTATTGAAACCGTCCAAAAACTCATCAACGGGTTGGCAGGGGGGCCTATAAGCACAGCCCACAATAAATGGTTTGCAATTTATCCGGTTGAGCTTAATCCACAAACATTCATTAATAGTATCTTGGGTGTTTACAACAGTGAACGGCAGGTTGTCTCGGCAGTATATCGCTACACCGCCTCCCATTGCGCCTATATATGGTCAATTTCATTAAATTCATTCACCCCTAGCTGCCTTTGACATGAACTGCATGGTGAATAGCCCACACTCTGAATACTGAGAATATTGCCCTGTGACCAGGAAACCAGTAAACTAACACACAACAAGCACTGGGTTAAAAATTCTATTAGTATAACTAGGTACACACGACCACAAATTTTAAATCAATAGAGACTGTGTGTAAATTGATTTTATGATAAACAATATACCATGACATAATTGAATCATGTCTTCTATCTGTCCCCTTTTGCCTACCTTTCAACAAATATTAATATAGTATTATTTTAAGATGTTGTCAATGTAGAAAGGCTGCACAGTAGTATTGATGAATATTTTCCCTGTGTTATTATATAAATGCACATCTTTGTCAAATATATCCATACACTTATCAATGGTAATCCTCAGGGTATATAGTATTGGGACAATTAGCACTACAAACATATAATTTAATTAAATATATTTTCCAAACTATCCCACTTTTGTGAGCAAATTTCATAATTATATCCCATATACACCAGTTACAGTTACATACAGTATTTATACCGTCCATCATTTTATTATTCTAAGATTAAAATCTGTCAGGAGAATGACATATACAGCTTATATCAAATTATATTTGCACAGACAAAGCATATATATGCTCAACTATGGTAG